CCTGGTTTTCATCTTTCCCCCCAAGTCGAGATACACGCGAAATAACTTCTTAATTGGGCGTGTCCCCGTGCTCTTCTGAACGGGTTTCACCTGTCCCTTGGACATCGAACAGCCAAGACAGGGTAGCAGCGGTCCATCCGTCAGCTGCACTCCCTGCTGCTCCGCCGTGATCCTGAGCAATGTCTCGTGGGCATGGCCGTGCGCGAGGTGGTACTCGTTGAGGTCAGTGGGGGTGGCTGCTTTCGCATCGCCAGGAACAATGAGTGCGGCACAGGCGGTGTGTAGCGTTGGATTTATTTGATAGCCTCGTTGGGTCAGCAGCTTTCCAGTCCAGGGGAACCACACCTCCTCCCCGGCTTTCGTGGTCAGCGTGAGGCTCCCCTTCATCCCCGAATACGTGTGGCCCTCCTCCGCCAACGAAGACAGCGAGAGGAGGTTGTAGGGGGCCTCTGGTACATGGGCAGCATTCAGTACTGGTACGGGTACTCCACCATCTTCCGTCTGTAGGACTAAGGTCACATCTCCGTATCCTAGGAGAGGAACGGGGGCCTTGTCGCCTCCGATCCCCTTCACCCAACCGCTACGCTCACGGTAGTTCACGAAGTTGTCTGCACATCGGAACATGGAGCACGTGGCCGCTGTGTCGGCCACGTACACCGCCTGGCCTTGTTCCACAACCCCCACTAGACCTACTTCACCAACGGTACCACACTCGCCTGGGGGGACTGCCACGGCACAAAACGCCTGGTCTTCCACGGAGTCCACGTCGCTCTCATGCCCCACCACTTGCGCTACGACGGCCTCCTCCGTCGCGCACTTTTCTTTGGTGTGGCCCCACCCCTCGCAGCGCGCACACCACGGCACGAAGTCCTTCTCGTTGGTAGTGCAGCCGATCGCTTGATGTCCACGATGTCTACACCTAAAGCACCGGCCCGGGAACTTATAATCCCCGCCACCGCCGCCATCGGCGCCTGCACTGCTGCTTCCCTTGCTCTCCTCGACTCCTTCGGATCCGCCTGAGCGGCCGGCGCGACCGCCGCCGCCGCCGCCGGCGCGACCGCCTCCGCCGCGGCCACGACTGCTGCTGCGGCCACGGCCGCCNATAATCCCCGCCACCGCCGCCATCGGCGCCTGCACTGCTGCTTCCCTTGCTCTCCTCGACTCCTTCGGATCCGCCTGAGCGGCCGGCGCGACCGCCGCCGCCGCCGCCGGCGCGACCGCCTCCGCCGCGGCCACGACTGCTGCTGCGGCCACGGCCGCCGCCACGACCTTGCCCTTGACTCCTAATTGAGTACCGCTCCCTGCGGCCCTCACCGTCGGCGAAGTACACTTGCTCTGCGCCCTTCGCCCCTTTTCCTTTCCCCTGCTCCAGCTTGCCCTTGATCGCCTTGTGTTCGATCATTACTTTATTTAGCACACCGGTCCGCGTCAACTCCTTCGCGTGTCGCAGGTTGTGCTTTGTCATGGCATACTCGTCCGAAAGGGCATCCAGGAAGAGGTGAAAGACGAACGTTTCGTTGACAGTTCGTCCTTTCTCGGTGAATGACTTTGCGGTTTGGAGCATCTCATTTAGTGCGTTTTGGGGTTTTTCACCTCTAGAGATCTATTCGATATACTCGTAGCATAGTATGATGGTTGAGATGTTATGTACGTCCGTACGAATATTGCAATGATGAGATGCGGAGGAACAGGAACTTTCTACATATTTTCCTTGGTTGTGAGAGGCTTTTGGTGAGGATTCAGAGAGATTCGTTGTGTGAGAAAGCATGAAGGCGTGACTCGATACCGTGATGGTTTGACGAGCACGAGCACGCCCCCGATTA